AAACATAACAGGGCAGCCAACAAACTTAAACATTCATCAGTATTGTGCCCCGGTGATTTATGATAGTCACAATACCGGGACTTATCCAATTTTTCTTCAGGCATCCGAAGTGGTTTGGGGTCCGGTAGAATGCCATTTCCTTTGATCTCTTCGTATATGGTAGCTGCCCCTGCGGAGTATACGGTTTGATAACCGGACTTCACATCGGTAGCATACTGTTTTCGGGCTGCTCGAACTTCAGGGTCATTGGGGTCTCCTCGGTGAGGTCCCCTGAACTGAGCCTTGCTTTGCTTTTCGAAAAATTTATTCTTCATTTTCTCGTCGGTCCCCGCCTTAGAAGACTTCGGGTTAAAGTTAAAATCGGGGACCGACATGGCTTCTTCAGCTATGATGTGTTGCTGAGCTCGAGCAAGAAATTCTTGAAAAGTGTTTGGTTTATTTTGGCACAGTGTCCAGCGGAAAATCGAATTCGGTTTCAGTCCGGCAATAGCCATGACAAGCAAGGTTTCGGGGTGACAAGGTTCCATGTTTTGAACTCGGTCATTAAATCGGGCGATATAATCCTTGACACTTTCATCATCCTTTTGAGTTACGTTTGCGAGAGACTCTTTTGGAATTAGGCAGACTTGAGCCCCGATGAAATGAGATCGGAAAGCCGACCTTAGTTGTTGCCACTTCCAAATTGAGTGAGGAGGTAGCGAATGGTACCATTTTTGGGCCCGAGGCCCCAGCGTGAGAGAAAACATACGACACCGAAGTGCGTCTGAGGCCCCGTGCAAGTCCATCCACGACGTGTAGTGACCGAGATGTGAATCGGGGTCTGAAGTTCCATCGTATAGCCCGATCTGGGGGACTTTGACTTTCCCAGGCACGGGTTCCGAAGTAAGCTCTGGCGTGAGAGGGGAGTCGGCTTCCAGATATACTTGCGCCGATGTTGAAGCCCGCCGAGGTGGGTCTTCGAGTGCCCGTTGCCGACTTTCCAATTCGGCAACTCTCCGTCGCAATGTTTCAAGTTCGGATGACTCTTGACGAGCCCGATTTCGTTCTATGTGCTGCCGAAGGTCGGTCTGCGCCGGGTTGGAGGGGTTTCGGTGTTGTGCATGAGGCGGTGACCGTCGTGAATGACCAGACTGGCTTTCGGCGGTTTCTTCATGAGGAAGGATAGGAGGATTGCGCCCGACGTCGGTGCGACGTGTGGTTTGTTTTGGAGGTGGTTGCGACGCTCTATCACGAGGTTGAGAGGTTGCGTGAGACGTAGTTCTTCCGCCGTCTCGCCGCACCGGTGGATTCTGCGGATTTGCAGGAGTCGTTGGTATTATAGAGTGTCCCGGGGCAGTCGTCGATGTTCCGGGGATCGTTTGAGCCATCAGAGCGGCGAACCCACATGCAAACTCCGGATTTTGAAGCAGAACAGTGTAATCCGGTACTGGGGGAGCTACGGCCTGCCGTCTGGCGGATTGGGCAGCGCTGCGACTGTGGCCATCTCGTGAAGTATTACCACGATGATCTGAACGAGACATAATGGATATGGCTGATGTGAATCGTTACTTGAGAAAGTGGAGATTAACCTCAAATCACTTATGAGGCCCTCCTTCTAGCGCCAAGCTGTTGTCGTATGATTCTTAACAACAATTTAAGGTGGAGTTTATGAGATAATTTCAAGTGGTTTGAACGTAAATCATGCAAGAAAAACTCAACAATGGCCCCGGTCCGAGGTGAACCGAGGTGAAAAGCCTTTATGGGCTGCTTCGCGTTTCATTGTTGAAATGTTAGGTTCCGAATCCGGGATCCCCTTACAGGTATGATTGGGTCATTATTTATAGTAACCTTTTTGATATATACATTGGGATTCGTGTATTATTTTCAGCATAAAGTAACTTTTGGTGGGCGGTTGGAGCAGTGGGTCCCACATGAATGATGACAAATCTCGTAGATCGTGATAGGGGTGTGTAGGCGCCTCGTCACCTGCTTTAGGAGGTGACGACCTCGGTTTATGTTGACCTCGGTTTGGGATGACTTCGGCGGAGGATGAGTCATTTCGGTCTTCTTGAGTCGTATCGGTCTATTGCGCGAACCGGGATGACTTTAGGCTATGGTAATGTCTGAATCAAATTCGCTTATGGTGCTGTTTTGGGCCTTTAATTACGATTTACCGAGTTGGATGATAACAATACATCAAGGCTTTGTTTGGTAATTAGTTGTTAGTTGTTAGCATATTGCATTAACTGCTTTAACCAGCAGATACTGTTAGTTGTTTTAACGAGCTGAATGTGTTAGCTCTTTGTAAGAGTGTGGTAACATTAAGTATTTTTAATTAGTTGTTAATATGTAAAATTACTTTTAAGGATATCAACATACTTGATCATTTTCAATGATGTTGAAATTATAATTATTTAGGAAATAAAAGTATTTAATATCTTAAATGTGAATTAAAATAAATTAAATTATAATAAAAATATAAATAATAATAAAATAAAAGTATTTCTTAATCGAGAGTATAGAAGAAGAATATAAAATAAAAATTGAATAATTTAACGTGGATTTAATGCAAACTATTGAAATAATAAATTATAAAAATGTTAATTAAAAACTATATTATTGAGTGATGTTATGCTAATGAGTTTTTTCAGCAGCCCCTGAAAGTCTGGTTGCGTTCGAACCTTGGGCTCCGTCGAATGGGAGATATTGATAGATGGGACAGTTTATTCCCGGTCGCGATTTGGAGATTGTGGATGGGACGCAATGAGCGGATCTTTCAGCGAAAAACCGTAAGCTGTGGAGCCCGGAAAATGGAGATTGTGACCATCACGGATAATTATACGAAAGCCGCCGCGGATTATAGGAAGGTCGGGGTTTCATCCTACGCCGCACGCATGATTCGGTGGTCTCCCCCAGGCCCGGAGTGGATTAAGATGAACACAGATGGTTCTTTTGACAACCGCTCGGGGTTGAGTAGTGCGGGTGGTCTGGCCCGTGATGAATTAGGCCGGTGGCTTGGGGGCTTTCTAATGAATATTGGGATGTGTTCTATTACAGGAGCCGAGCTCTGGGGACTTTTTCAGGGTCTGGTGTTGGCGTGGGAGCTAGGCTATCGAAGGGTGATTGCTGAAGTCGATAGCCAATGTGTTCTCAAGATGATATCTCAGTCGGACGGTTATTTTGGTGTTCACGAGGGGATGGTTAAGGCCATTCGTGAGTTGATCCAACGGAATTGGGAGGTCAAAGTTCAACATGTCCATCGAGAAGCGAACTTCGCTGCTGACCATTTGGCGAGCTTGGCCGGCCTCGTATCCGCCTGGCCTGCATCGAGTTGTGTCTTTGCCTACAGGGGTCGGAGATTGGTTGGAACATGATATCATTGGGGTGTCTTACCCCCGGCAAATTCTAGCTTAGGCCTGTGGCCTCATTCTTTGTACTAAAAAAAAAAAATAATACATCATCAATGAGTGCATGCCACGCAGTGGGCATATTAACATGTGTCCACCGTGGGTAGGTGATCATTTCTCTAACATCATAAGAGTTAAAAGCTAATCAGGGCAAATTTTGGGTGTCATTACTCTGCCAGTTAATTGCGGCTTATATGTGTATACAAATGAAAGAAGTTTTAATTTCCGCCGTTACCATGAAAAGAGCCAATAATAGAAAATGGCATATATGGACATTTATTTATTTTATCTCAAAAAAGTTTATTCCAAAACGCTCCCATGTGAAGCGGAAAAATACTACAAGTGCATAATATATGTACCTAGAAATGTACATAGCAACTTACAGGAAGTAGGATCCACTTGATTTTTTATTTAAAAAATGCTATAATAAATGTAAATAGAGGTGTACATAACACTCATATAGAGTGAAGTATACTTATTTTTATTTTTGATCGGTCTCACTCAATGTGAGTGTTATGTACACCCTTATGTACAATATTATGTACCTATAGCATTTCTTTTTATTTTTGGTAGAATCCACTTATTGTGACTATTATTATGTACCTATAACATTTTTCCTTGCAAAAAATGGGCCCTACCCTCGCTGATGGCGTCGACTGAAACTGAGGGCAGTGCCTTCACCTGTAGCATAGAATTAGCTTTGTCATCCAATGTTTTTCAATTCGAACCGCTCCGGTGGGTTGACTCGGGACCCGGTTGGCCCGGAGTCAGGACCGGTCTTGGTGGGTTATTCAGACCGGGCAACAAAAGACTTGGTCAAAACCTGGATGGGTCAACCAGGTTGACCCGATCCCTATATAATTTTTTTATTATTATTTTTTAATTTTTAAAATATTTTTTGTTTTTAATAATAAAACTATGTATATATATATATTTATATGATAATATTTATCATGAAATACATATTATTGACGCTTTATGCACACATTTTAAATATAAAATATTTAATTTTATTATTTTTATATATATCTATATGACAAAATACTTATATATAATTTAAAAAAATTTAAAATTAATAATTTAGTTCTACAATTGACTCGATGACCCGATAGAGGCCGAGTTTAAAAACTATGTTGTCATATGTGCAATACACACGAAAAATGATTGCAATTCAACGATGACCCGAAGTTTTTGGGAACACCCAATTATTGGCCAACTGTCCTCACTATAGTAATTTTTTTTTTTTTTTTTT